TTTGATCGTGGTAAGCTCTTTGATATTTTCGATTTAATGGATACTTATTTTAATTTTTGGAAACGACAGTCACTGCTTTTGGAGAGATTAACGTGGACAAATCTAAATGTTCTTATAGTGATGAATGTTTTTTCGACAAATCAATATGTTCCTTGTGACATGAACTAACGGCTATTAGCAGTATTTTACATCAATTATGAAACAAGTTTATTATTGTTTGTTGTCCCTGATGGAAGCGCGTAGAGGGTTTTGATGCAGCAGTTGGTCGGGCAGGTGCCCCGAATCAAACCCCGGGCGTCCCAGGGGAAGACGATCGCGATGGCGCTATCCATTGTGTCGCCCAACCCAGTCAAGTTCAAATGATTTACTTAAGTCTTGACCACCACAAAAATATATATGTACAAATACAAAGTTACTATACAATAATATACAAATATATGGGTAATCATCTAGGTTATGGTTTTGTCTGAAATGCCGCAAAAAATACCATAAGAAATTCGTCATGTAGTATAAGTACATTGTAATTATACCATTGTAAACTTGGTCGTTACCCTTTGCATATACAACGTAGGATTGCTATTGTTTAGTAGCGGCTGGTTAAACACTGGTAACTGTTTTGGAGGGCCTTATACGATGAACTCTTAGAGCTTGATAACAGGACACCAAATTGTAAAGCAAATTGGTTTTATCAACTGAGACGTGATTTGTGTACGTTGAGTTTTGGAGATGTGTTGTTGGCACAATGTGTACCAAATGAGAAATATTTTTTATTATTATATATACAACGTATAAAGGATACTTTTATTCAGGAAATGAGAAACACGTCTTCAAAATGATTGTCGTATACGCACGTTGTTGACCGTTTTGATCTACAATGTTTTTTTTTACAAAACCGCTATTAAGAAAATATAAATGTATTCCTGCGAAATATAGATTGCAAGCACATAACCTTAATATAGAGACAGGTAGATTTAATGCAGTGCCTCGAAACCCGAGATTGTGTACTTTATGTGATCTTGGAGATGTCGAGGATTAGTTTCATTTCATTCTTAGTTGTCCTGTATTTTTAGCCCACCATCATCTGATGGTGGGCTATTCAAATCACCCTGCGTCCGTGGTCCGTCCGTGGTCCGTCCGTCGTACGTCGTCCTTAAACAATTCTTGTAATCGGTATTTCTCAAGAAGTGCCAGAGGGATCTTTCTCAAATTTTATATGTAGGTTCCCCTTGGTCCTAAGCTGTGCATGGCAACTTTTAAGACTGATCGGATAACCAACATGGCCGACAGGCAGCCATCTTGGATTTTGATAGTGAAAGTTTGTTATCGCTATTTCTCGGGAAGTATTTTAAATTTAGGTTCCCCTTGATCCCTTGTTGTGCATGTTATATTTTAAGACTGATCATAAAAACAAAATGGATTAAAAGAAGAACTAAACAGATCTTTCTCATATTGCAATGACAAACCAGGGACAGTATATAGAGGGGATTGGCAACTATACTTCACTATACGTCCCTGGACAAACTCACTTTGAAGGTTGGCTTTCATACACATTAAGGTGCATTTACTGTTAACATGACTCGATCAAACAGATTAGAGGAAAGAAGAGAAAATATCGAACTGACAAAGAACTAATGAAGATGGTACAAAGGTGGGTGCCAAGATCCCTCTGGGATCTCTTGTTAGAATTAAGATTATCTTGTATCAAGCCATATTATCGTATTCGTCCTTCTGTGTTTAAATTATTAGAGCTAGAGTTATGAGTCTCCCTATAAGGGTCCTATTACTGTATAGTGGGATTGAGAGCTATGTCTTTTACTTAACAGATAGTGTATAATCTCATTTCATTATGTAATATTTAGTACCAGGGATGTGTAGTGGAGGGATTCGCAACTCAGAGTCCAGTGGCGAACACTTCTACTACACATCCCTGTAGTACTCGTTCTACCTTCATGTTGAGGTTGTACGATTGACTTTGAAGTTTTGCTATTTCCAAGAAATTTGGCTAGGTAAAGGCTTATTTGTATAATTTCATAAAAAAAAAAAATTATGCTTCATAAGAGTCCGCTAAATTACCTTAGAAAAAGCTTCAAGTTTTTCCGACCTGATGACTAGTTCATGAATTTGTTATTAACATGTATGGAATTGAATCTATTGCATATGTTCTCCGCCAGTGTACAAGATATTTGTGAAGTATTTATCAATATGCATATTTCTATATGCCTATCATTTGGCAATAAATTGAATTTAATTGTGAAAAATACCATTTCAAGTGTATATCATGACTCAAGAACGCGTCTGAGTTCGTTTTGATTACAAACCAATGCTAGGGGAAATCTCATTATTAAGGAGTTAGTGTTCGAGATATTTTGTCGTTGAAGTAAATATCTCATATTTCACGATCAGCATATTTGAGGCATTAGCAGTGAACAACTTTACGCATTAACAAGGATAAATGTATTATTAATATTAATGTAGAATGTTACAGAGGTCATTATTTTTCCAATGCCTCCGGTAGGACCCGACCTCGGGATCTCTGTTTCACTAGTCTTACGCTCTACCGAGTGAGCGAAAGAGAAAATCTCCCTAGCCGAGTCGGTAGGCATAGAAATTTTCCCGTTCTGAGTCAGAAGAAAGCGGCAAATATTTTACCGCAGAGTGGCATTAGCAAGATGTCTTTTTTTTGCGTCATTCGCAGTGAGTCTATTTGCGTAATTCGCAAGAAGTATATACGATGAATGTTTATCTTTTTCGTTATACAAAGCAACTGATACACTGTAATTGTTGTTTTTAATCGTCTACTTGGTTTGAAAAAAATAGCTAGCGCTACGCACAGCGCTACGTTCGGAACATTCGATACAAATTGATTTTAAAATTTCATCCAGACGAAATTTGACACTTGCTTGAAAAATGAGCACATTTTATTGACGGCTTTTGCTTAGTCACACGACACATCTGCCAGAGAGGTATTGAGTTTTAATTGTTTAGTTTTGTTTTAATGACAGAAAAGACAAAATCGAAGTTCACCGCTCGTATTTTGTCAGTAAATGAAAACCACTGACGTTAAATGTGTTTCCATATATAGCTGAAATCGTTGTCGATTTCACTTGTGTTATAATAGATTGTTCTACAGTCATCGTCACGCGTCCGAGTGTAATCGCGTGACAGTCCCTGCCACTTCATAGACGCATCAGCTGTGCCCCCCACGTAGCTTGCTTACGTCAGCAGACCCTTCGTTCACACACTTATATGCATAAAAGTTATCTGCGTAAAAATAGATAGATAAATATGATCTATTTATAGATGTAATATGGGGTTATTGAGAAACTCCCACTGGCCACCATGCCGAGTAATCCTACACATGGAAGCTCGCAAATGCAACGGTAGTATAACGTAAATGTGTGTAAGCTTAGGTCACACGCACCAGTCCAACATTTGCAAATGGGTTCGTGGGCAATATTGACTAAATTTGAACCTTGTTAAGTTCAGTAGTATCACGGACTTAGGTAACAATCTAATTCCGTGGTTGTATTAAATTGTTTCAATAAATTTGACTTTTTCACCCTTAATAATGAAATATGAATTAAAACAAAAAACAAAAACAAAAAAACACAGAGAGCGATCATCAGTTATGGAGGCTGATATGTGTAATTCCATCATTTCGCAGGAAAAACAACAATCATTTTATTTCGTGGTGTGAAGAGATTTTTTTTTTTTATAGAGCGAGTTAAGATATGGAACGGGTTAAAGGTATCCCTTCACATTAATATATGATATGCATGTGCACTGCATGGTGTACAAACACACAGGATCTTACACGCGTACGGGTTCCCATTTCATATGGTTTATTAAAGATAATCAACTAATAATTAATCAATAAATCACAAATAAATCAGTCATAACAAGTTCCATTACTCTTAAAATAAAATGGATATTCCGTCTCATTACCTAACTAGAAAACTCCGCCATACTAGCTTAACAGTCGATCTATTGTCCCATTGTGATGTCATAATATGATTTGGAAATCTATGACGTCACAATAGGCTATATGAGTTTATGTGCAAAAAAATCACAGGTGTATTAATTAGCGGAAACATTTACAATAATCGTGTAAATACTCTCAGATGCAGAGATACTGGTCACAATTTATGTTTCATGTCGGTTGCTATATGTTCAAAGTACAACTCTGCAATGATCCCGAAAATTTCGTCACAATAACCGGAAGTCAGTCTTATTGCGTTCATGGTGCTATAAATGCAACTAAAATCTGGTCGTACCAAGCACCATAAGCTGCTATGTAAATGCGCTTTATAACGGCACAAATTCAATTTTTAGATTGTCAATTAATAAATTGCTTATTGAAGCGTTCAGTTTTTTGTTTCTGTTAGCTTTTTTGCTTTTATTTGTTTTTGTTTGTTTCCGTTTTGTCAGGTTTTGTTTGTTTTCTAATAAAAAACAGTCCCTAAATTATTTCTTGTTCTAATTATAGTCATATTCTATGTACCAACATGTATTCTAATGTGGACAAAACAATGCTATGTGAGTTTCTTTTTTCCAAACATTATATACGTATATATATATATATATGTTAATATCAAATTATTTCGAAATAACAGTTGTTGTGAAATATGCGACAGGAAATATCTACACTTGAATCACGGAATTAGATTATCTAAGTCCGTGCTTGAATCAAGCACGTCATAAAAACAACATGCACTAGGCTACTCTGATATGATAAAATTGAATCGTAGGAAGTCTTTGACTATATACATCATTAATTTTGAACAATGGTTATTGAAAGGAATATACTTCTTCAGTATTTATGGAAGATGGTGCACGTAGGCCTATAGGAAGAAAGACAAGAAAAAATGAATCTACAAAAAGAGCGTAATCAACAATATCATCACTCAAATATTGCAAAAAAGTTTATTAAGTGTGTTAGAAGCATTCTTGTTATACCAATAACAGTATTATAGAAGTAAATAGTAATCTCGGAATGAGTCAAGCAGGTAGACGAAGAGTGACGTCAAAATCTCTTAGGCGACGACGATGAAAATCCTTTAGCCAATCAGGTCCGTTTTTACATCACGTGGAATACCGAGGAAGGGAAAACACGGATTGTGATCTCGTGTAAGTACGGTGTTATGTCACTTAATGCATTCACAAACGTGCAGGTTAAGATACAGTGGTACTCATCTGTTTATTTTCTTAATATTCCAGCGCTAAGAGGTTGCATTGTTGTCTAAATACATCTCTCCGGTGTATTGCGAGTGAGTACATGGAATCCAAAATGGCTGCCATGGCCTGAAAAATATGCATGTTTACCGAATGATAATTATAATTTGTGCAACATTGCACGTTTGGCATCCAAACCTAACCATTCCAGTTGATAGAAACAATGGCATTGGTCAAATGTGTATCTTGAATAATTTAAATATGTGTAGGTTTCGTGAAAATATGTGAACCGGGACACCGGGTTTCGCAACTGACGGTCCAGAGCCAAATTTAGATACACGGCGTATGGAACGCCGATATCAATACTTTGCCCGCTAAATGGTCAGAGACGCTAGTGAGTCTTTGCTTGGTTAATATTGCTATAGGTAAGTTTATTTTACAGACATGGCAAGACCGCATTCATAGTCACAGTAAGGTGTTGGCTATCTTCTGAATTTGTGTACTAAATTTATTTCCGGTTTCTTGACAGTTTTATGCGCGGATAGCCCTTTCTTATGTACACACCTACTACTAGGTACATAGTTGTGATCTATTTATAGCCAATATTGGTAACATACATTATGTTACGTGTTATAGACAGTTGTAGGCTTTACAGAAGCTGTTTTTTTTGTCTTCTGTATTTGTACTGAATACAACGTGTAGTCTTTAAGATATATTATCAAAATACCGGTTTTAAATATAGTTTGCACTTTGAAGTAAATTTGGATATATGATATTTTAACAAGGTCGTACAGAATATAGCTCACAAGCAATGTCACATCTGGTAATATATATATAGCATCAATATAACCAGCTGGTAAATCAACCTATTGCAGTAGAAAATATCTAGTACTGCATCATTATTTGATATTTCAATGTAAACAAGATGTACTAAAGATAAACGCACGATACCAACGAATTACCATAAAACTGACACTACCTAAAAAATCTGTCAGTGTAAAAAAATATATTTTTGCATGCCAAAAATATATCTACTTTTAATTTCTGCAGAAAATATTTGTGTCAAATTTTGGAAATAATGAATGTTAATAGATATATATTTCAGTTTACAGATAATGACCAATGTATGTTATGTGTTAGAAAGCTGCAGATTGAATTTTGTTCTTTTTCTGATCTGCAAGTGTTTAATAACTCAATTAAAAGTGTTGTTTCGTATGGTTCTAGCCTGCACCTCTTATCCAACCTATCAGTTTATAAAATTGCCTATCTGTAGAAGTATATTTTGAAAATTTGTATGGGAACCAAAGAATTTCTCTTAATACTCAGGGTGGGACACATACTTTAAAAATCAGTGGAAAATGATCATCTCTCATGAGGCCTGATCGTAGATTGATCACTAAATCTGATATTGTTCACACCAAAAAGTCAGTCCCTTGGGCATGGGATAAATAACTGTTATTTCTCCCTGTCACTTTTAGATGAAGTGGTGCTCTTTTTCCCTCCAGGTATAGGGCCAGTCAATGATAGCGTGAAGTGCTTAATTATGAGCTTAATAGCATATTTGGAGAATCTGTTGAAGGCAATTGGAGATTGCTTTTGTTATCATTGAACAAGATCTACTGCTATCTGAGGTAATGTCAAGTTATCAGATCTTGACATGTGTACTTCTGTCTGTAAGAGTCCATGTGTGTCTCAATTACATCAGGGCCAAGATCCAGGTATACATATTATGGTCTTAATCCCAATCTGTAAACACCACCTAATAATACATTTATGAAGTATGTCATTCATTGTAGATTTAGAATGATTATATCATACATGTACAGTTACACACATTTACATATATTTAGACGTGTGTATACATTTAAGGTGTTCAGTATGTGTACAGTTATAATTGAAGCTATCTACATATTGCAAAGATAACTGTGTATAATTGTAAATTGTAAAGTTTTCAATTTGAGAAATATCAATAAGAAGAAACATTTTTATGGTAAATATGTATTTTACATAGCTGGGAGATGTTGATGTTGTTTCCTATACAGTACTTCAGGTGAATTTTTGATTTTCCCTTCATTTTGAAATATTTGTTGTGTTGTTTATAGTAATTCACAAATCCATGCAAGACATATTTTATCAGTTGAATTGCAAAGTTGACAAAAACTTGAAAATGGGTTCTCAGCAAAAAACAAATTGTTAAGGCCAGTGGTTCCATGGCTGTACTAGTCTGGCCTAGCTAACAGGGAAAGAGTTGCGGATATGAGGGAGAGGGGGCAACAATGAAACTGGAGTGCAGGGATGAAACCTAGGGTGGGGTTCTTTGGAGCATAGCCCTCAAGAAGCTGGGGAGAAGCTTGGGAGTTTCAAGCATGACTTCGCTTGAAAAATTCTTTCAAATATCTAGGGGTGAAAAATGTTGTATTTAAATACTAGCCATCAGGTAGATCTATACAGATTTTACTAGCACTAATATAATTTTATAGTAAATTAAAAAAAATCAGTGGTCCCGACATAAAACCTCCATGTCCACGCATCACAAATCTCGAAAATATTGGAGGAGGCAGTTGCCCCACCAACTCCCTGATCTCCAAGCTACTGCGATGGTTTTGGAGTGGGAAAACCACCACCTTGCCCACCACCAACTGTTTGTCACAGGAGGTATTTGTGGTGACGGTTCCTCATCTCCAAACTACCGTGATGGTTTCGGAAAGGGAAAACCACCACCTTGCCCACCACCAACTGTTTGTCACAGGAGGTATTTGTGGTGACAGTTTCTCATTGCATTTGGTTAACCAGGTGTTTGAAAGAGCAACATCCTATTTACCATATAAATATAGAGCTTAAGTCTTTTTTGATAGAATATGTGTACGGTACATTAAATGGTATACTTAACATGTTCTATCATTAAAAAAACTGCAATAGTTATATACCTAAACAGGTTTTAAGTGCATGTAGAATTGTCAAATTCGTTATTCAAATTGTATATCTGGATTTAATGTAGCTGCAACAGGATTTTGAAATTAGCATAAATTAACTACAAAAACATATTAAATGCTGCTTAGCAGGTCAAAAATACTTCCATCATAGAGGAATTAATATCTCAAAGAAATTATCCTATACTTGACAGGTCATTATACCAACTACATATATTGTATAGTAAATGTTAATAATTTTTGCAAGTGATACAAAAGGAAGTGCTGACCTGAGCTACAGTGAGTCCATTTTCATTATAATTAGTTAAATAGCATTCCTTTCCCCATATATATTGCTATTGATAAATTATACAGCATTGTGCGAGTACAGATGAAATTTGATAATGCAGGAAAAAACACATAATAAACCAATGTATACCTATCTGCCAAGTTGTTTCCATTGCTATTAAAAGAGTTACAGCCCTTGTTTTGTTTTGCTAAACAAAGTACTGTCCTGTCAAGTTGTCAACCTCTCCCAAGGTCTGAAACAAATACAGAAACTTTGCAAACATCCCTTTCATATGAATTTGTGGATGCGTGTAACCAGGTTTCGACTCCATAAGAGTTGTTATAGTTTCATTCATTTAAAATTTACATTAAATAATTACTACAATTATAATTTATCCTAAGTAGTAGTAATAATAAGTACTAACTTTATTACATTTAACATTTCGTAGTCACATGTCGTGTTTTACAGCTGTTTCAATTGTAATACTGAAATTAAAGTTCAAGACATTGAAATTAAAACAGAAATTAATCAATGACTTCAAAACACGAGACATCATTTCTTGCATAGTTAGTAGGCCTACAAGACGCAAGGTTTAGAAATCCTTCTCAATGTTTATTACTTTTCAATAAACAGTACATTGACTGGTTGTTGACCTATTTCTGTGTAGGTAAATATAGGTTCTACTGTGAGTATACGCAAGTACGTACAAGCCTAATCCAGGATACAATAATAAGTTCATAAGTTGTGACATGTTATGATCTAAATCCTATCGGTTCTTTAGTACATGTTGTACCTCGATGAAGCCAGCTTATAGCGTGTCCTTTTGACGTATATATAGTTTACACAGATATATATATATAAATGCAGGTATTAGTTCTATGTTTACAGGTTTAAATATCCTTATTTTACCTACGTATATGATATATAATATGTTACTTGATATGGTACATGTTTACATATTTAAAAGTACTTGCTAACACCTTCCTTTGAAATTTCTTTCATAATTTTTCAAGGATTATCACTGGTACTGTGGAAATCCTTTCAACCTTGAGTATGCAATTGAAAATAAACTGAAATGGTTTCTTTGAATGTTTGTAAAATCTAATTGTTTCATTATTCTTGACTAATTTTTCCCAGACAATGAATGGTTTGGAAAATGAATGCCCGTTTCAGAGGAATTTTTGTCAATTGATGTTGGGAGTTAATTTATATAGTGTACATGAATGCATCAAAATTGCATAATATTTATAATCTTCTTACTTTGTATATATGTAATGTAATGTTATTTATGACCTTGTCGTTTTTTGGAATTTCAATTAATGTATATTCACTTCCATATATGGAAACATGCAATGGGGAAATTAATTCATTTTGTAGACATGAATAATAGTTATGTTGTGTAATGCATTATGACTGGTTTATTCACAGTTTTACTGTGTTGCACCTACAAGTCTGTGAAAAACAGTTTAATTTATTGTCATTTGGTGCATAATAATAAAGCTCCTCTTAGATTTACTTCAAGCACTTATTTTGCAGACACAAGTGATGTGTGGTTTATCAATTACATGGTCAAAAAAGGTTTAGATGAATACAATTTACACATGTTTTTTTTTGCATTTTATTTCATTAGGTTTAATTCTTTGGCATATGAAGTAGTTACTAACATCTATCTGAACAGCAAGCTAGATAGAGCTGCATATAACCACAGCTGGGTAGACTATAGTATTTGATTGCTTAAGTCACTGGCTCATATTCCG